AAAAAAAAAAAAAAAAAAAAAAAAAAAAAAAAAAAAAAAAAGGTTAAGTTAAAACAAGAAGGACCAGTAGTCCTTCCGGGACATCCGTTAAAACAAGAACGATTTTGCCCAAATCATCAAGCATCCAACGCATAGAACAACGACGACGATAGAACCTATTTCCGCCAAACTGGGTTTCGACGGCTGAAGCCTGATGACATTCATTCTTTTCTCTCAACCCCGAGAGAGGGAAAGAGAAACGAACAGAGAACGCAATCCTTCTTCCGACCGAGAGAGAGAGAGAGGAAGAGGAAGACTCAAGAGATCAACACAGAGAGAGAGAAAGAGAGTACAAGATATCCAGCACGACGGCTGATGACATTCATTCTTTTCCATCAACCCTGAGAGAGAGACAAAAACAAACAGAGAACGCAATCCTTCTGCCGACCGAGAGAGAGAGGAAGAGGAAGACTTGAGAGAGCAAAAGAGAGAGAGAGAGAGAGAGAGAGAGAGAGAGAGAGAGAGAGAGAGAGAGAAGTACATAAAATATCCAGCATCATCTCTGCCACCACCACCACCACCAGCAATCGCCAATCAATCACTATATTCCTCATCCAACCATACAGCCCACTAACGATGACTAACTCATTCAATCATTCAGGGACAGCTCCCATCGTTATTCTTCTTACCATAACCCCTCTTCTTCTACCCCATTTGGCTCTCTCTCTCTCTCTCTCTCTCTCTCTCTCTCTCTCTCTCTCTCTCTCTCATCCCCAATCAATTGTGTTCCGGTCCCGTGCTAGCGTTGTCGTTCTCTGTTTCCTGTTGGATGATGAATGATTGACCGTCATTCATTCGGTGTTTCGTTCCGCGTGGAGAGCTTTGTGAGGGGCTCTGTGGGGAGAGGGAGGGGCCTTGTGCCTTGTGCCTTGTGCCTCGTGTAAAGGAGCGACGTCTTTCTCGGATACTCTCTATGATGGACTGTGTGCAGAATTTGATGTGAATCTTTTGAACTGTGCGACTGTGCGACTGTGCGACTGTGGGCAGCAGAGCGAAGGTGCGCTGCTCACAGAGGAGTTGGAATTTGATCGAATGATAATGATGACGGTCTGATTGGCGGTGGGGGAGTAGATTGGCAAAATATTTCGATGTCTCGAGAGAGCCGATGATCCATGGCGTGGATAGGACGGCGGGGGTCGGAGGGGAGGGCGGGGGGGGGCGGGGAGGTGGAAGGGGCTGGGGGAGGGGGAAAGGTAGCGGATGTGTTTTTTTCGTAATTTTAGATTTATCCATACATTGTTTTTTGCTGTTATCTTGGAATTATAATTCGATATTGACACGAGTTTTCAGCTGAAAAAAGTAAAATAAAAAAATTGGCACGATACAGAAAAGACTACTAGCATCGCCCCTGCTGCGCAAGGATGACACGCAGAAATCGAGAAATCGTCCAAATTTCCAGGCTACCAGAGTGGTCGGGCCCAAAAAAAAATAAAAAAATAATGATAATTAATTTAAAGTTTCATTTTAAATTCGGTAAAGGATTTCGGTGTGACCCTGAGGCAAACGTTGTTCAATTTTTTCAAAAAAAAAATATTTCCTTCCCTGGTCCTTGCACGGCCGGGCCGCCCGGGAAAATAGGGTGACACGGGCGACCCCGGTGGTAGCTTACCCAAATTGGGGGAAAAAAAAAACAAAAAAAAAAAAACAAGGTTGACCGGTCACCTTTCCCACACTCCTCGACTTACCAGGGGCGAGGTCCCACTAGCAAAGAGGATTGGATTAAACACCATAATCTGGACTTGTTTGTGGGAAGGTGCGAAATGTCGAGATTGAACTGCTTTTCCGCATCTCTGCTTGAAACACGTCCAGAATCAGGATATGTATCCAACCCTCTTTGCTAGTGGGACCTCACCCCAGGGGCGAGGTTTCAGTAGCAAAGAGGGTTGGATTAAACGTCGGAATCTGGACGTCTCTCCGGAGAAGTGCAGAACATCGCGATTGATCTCCTTTTCTGCATCTCTCCCCCCGAACATAATGCACCGTGACAATGAATGTATATAAGCCATAATTCAGGTCAGGTACAGCCAAATTGAGGGCGCGTTGTGTTCGGGGGAAGACGATAGTGGAACCTTGCTCCAGGAAATTACTGAGATCGACGAGTAGCAGCAGAAGCGAAAAAAAAAAAGAAATAATTTTTTTTCTGCGCGTGAGAGAGTGTCTCGGAGTCGAGTTTCTTCTTTTTTTTTTTTCTTTTTTTTTTTTTGCGATCAATTGATTGACGACAGCTGGCGCGCGATGCACTTCCAACGCCGCCGAAACAGGACGACCACCGTCTTCACCCGAATAGAACGCCCGTTCATCATAATTGTTTTTGCTCCCGTTTTCAGTCTAGATACAGCGACAATGACCGGGGCCGAGGTCCCACTAGCAAAGAGGATCGGATCGAATGCCTGAATCTGGATGGGTTTTACGCAGAGAGGCAGAAAAGCACTTCAATCTCGATTTCCTGCACCTCTCTACAAACACGTCCAGATGCAGGCATTCGATCCGATCCTCTTTGCTAGTGGGACCACGCCCCGGGCGACCTATTCGGGTGGAGAGCATCGTTGTGCCATCTGTGACGCTCGCCGAAATCGTGGTTTTTTTTTTTTTTTTTTTAAATACCAGTCGTCCTATTCGTTCCATCCTCAAACAGCAACACAAGATTAAGAGCCTCGCTCCAGTACTCACCAAATACAGAGAATTAAAATGAATCTCCCGCTAGAACACGGGAAGATACACCGCCATATTTTTGACTTTTGTGTATGTGGTGGGTGAGCAGTGGGACGATACCCTAAGAAATCATCATCATCATTACAAAGAGATTTCATTTTCATATTTAATAGAGAATTTGATCAACTATAGAATATCAATAGAGAAAAACAAAAAAGAACGATTTTTTTTTTTTGTCTTTTTTTTATCATACCATATATACACTACTATGCGATTAAAAAAAAAAAAAAAAAAATCCTTCTCAAATAATAAGATCAATAATAATTAAAAAAAAGAGAAACGTAAATTTTCTTTTGTATTGATTGATCGATAGAGCGTGCAATTATTCTTTGTAAAAATCGGTTCCTTCGAACGAGCGATGAAACTCCCTTCAGTCCAGATTTAAAAAAAAAAAAAAAAAAAAAAAAAAAAAAAAAAAAAAAAAATTCCTTCCTCGAGTCCCATCGGAATGTTGGTCAGAAAACCAAACTCAAATCTCTCCTCCAAGACATAACGCGTATTCATTCCCTTCTGATGAAAATTCCTCCAAAGTGCCAATGAAACTTCCCTGAGATCGACCCCGAAACTTCGTCATAAATCCTAGCCGAAATCTCTCCCCCAAAACAACGACAATTGTTCTTCGGGACATCCGTCAAAATTGGAACGATACAGAGAAAGAAGATTAGCATGGCCCCTGCGCAAGGATGACACGCATAAATCGAGAAATGGTCAAAATTACCCAAAAAAAAAAAAAACAAAAAAAAAAACAAAAAAAAAACAATGACAATTGAAGGGCAAGTTTCAAAAATAGCGCGTCGTTGTCGTTTCATAGCAAAAGTATACCTGTCTTTTCTACTGTAATTGCAGCTGTGTCCTTCGGGACATTCGTTAAAATTGGAACGATACAGAGAGAAAGACGATTAGCACGGCCCCTGTGCAAGGATGACACGTATAAATCGTAATTGTACCTGCTAATTAATCTTATACCATTGTTATACGATTGTAAACGTCTCCATATCAATTATTATTATCACATTAACGGTCCACAAGCATCATCGCCGCTTTTGTGTTTGGGACAAGGACCTAGTAGAGCTACCAATCCAGGAGCCGTACAAGGACTTCCCCAGGGAGAGAACACGCCTGCCAGCAATCCTGACCATGCTTCCTCCTTGCCTCCAAGATGGCCTCCCTGAGGCATCAACGATGCTCCCCGCCTCCCATCCCGACCCCCCACCCCCTCCCCTATCCTCTCCTTTCCCCGCGCGTCGCTTGCCTAAGGGTACGAGCGCCGGGGCGCCAGGTTCAATGTCTTCCCCAAGGAGAGATCACGCCTTCCATGGTACTATCTATCCTGTCCCCTTGCTTCCTCCCCCCGAGATGGCCTCTGTGTGCCATCAACCATGCTCCCCGCCTCCCTACCGCCCCTCCCCCGCCTCCTCCCCGCGCCCCTTTTCCCTACTGCTTTGCTTCCCCAACCCGTCACTTCCCTAAGGATAAGAGCGCGGCTACTCCAATTACCGCGAACACCATTCGCAAGACGAATGGGGTCAGCTTCATAGACCCAGAACTGCTAGGTGGCGCTTTAATAGGCCCATGGCCACCGGTTTCGCTGTTAGACGATACAGCCCTACTAACCGGAGGCCTGTATGACGACAAGATTGGCGCACTCGCGGAAGCGGACAAGATCGGCTTGGATGCAGACAAGATACTAGGTTGGGATACAGACAAGATCGGCTCAGATGCAGACGAGATAATTGTGGGCGTAAGCCTGGATCTCGACGAGGGTTCCGGAAAAGGGAGGACCGTACTCTGATAGGACGAGGAAGGCGACCTGCTGGGCACGGCTGATTGCGCAGCAGGGGGCTCGGGAATGCCATTCGCTCCCCCAGCAGGTCCCTCCAGCACGCGATGGCTTCCTTCTCCGCATATTCTGTCGAAGTGTCCCAGCAGCTCCGCGTATCCACGTTTTCGCAGCTCGTGCGAGAACAGTGCAACGCATTTGGGATTGAACCTGTTCCTTACGAGAACAGCAGTCATAGACGCTTCCAGATGCATACAGCAGCGCGCCGACACCACCATAGCGGCGGCGCCGCCGCCGCCGCCGCCTCTGCCCATGATCGGCGACGACGACGCTAGCGCACCCCCACAGCTATCTTCAATTCCGCGAAAATCGAGGTTGCCAAACGCACAAACGCCGCCGCCGCCGCCATCGCCATCGACTTCGGCTCCCTCTTCGTCCCTTTTCCCGATTTCCGATACCCACGAAGCTTCGGACATGGCGTCCGAACCCGCCAGCAAACTCAGTGAAAGCAGGCAAACGAAAGCAGCTAGCTTACCGACGACCTTCATCTTCATCTTCATCTTCCTTCGACGGCAACCACCCACAGCGTCAAATCTCGCCGCCACGCCAGAGCACCTCGTCGACGACCGCCGGAGTTAAAAACCCAATGCAACACACTGACACGAGGACCACAAAGTCAAAACCTAAAAGTCAAACCCTAATAACACGCGAATGCGGCCAACAGGAGAGGCGCCACATTTGTTCGAGGAGCTCATTCGGCCGACTCGACGGCAATTTTTCTAATATTTTGTGGTGAGGGGGTGGGAAAGAAAAAAAGAAAAAAAAAAACAAAAGCTGGTGTTCGGCGCGAAACCTATGCAGCAAAAAAAAGTCGGGGGGGGGGAGGGGGGGGAAGGGGGGGGGTTCACTACCAACGGAGGCCTACTGATCCCAATGGAACCGACGGATGAAATTGGGAAAAGTCGTAAAACCTCCCCGCCGCGAAACCTTTGTATCTATTTCCCCCCAAACGGGGGAAAAAGTGCCGCAGGTCCCAACCCAAAATCAGTTTGGACTTTTGGTGTCTTTTCTTTTTTTTCTTTTTTTTTTTTGGCTGGGCCGGTAACGGCCGCTGTGTAAAAACGGGGGAAAAGTGTTTTGCAGGGTGCCAAAATGACGCGGAAAGTGGTTTTGGGGCCTGCCGCACCTTTTTTCCCGTTTGGGGGGAGATGGATACAATGGTTTCGTTGCGGGGAGGTTTTATGACTTTTCCCAATGAAATTCTAGTCCAGAATTCCCTACCCCCGGGGGCTAGGTCCCACTTACACGAATTAAGCGACATTCACCGTAGATAACAAAGATCAACGGCCAGAATCTCTTAATCTGTGCAAGCGTGACCTGGCCCCGGCTGTGGCACACACCACTACCGTAGTGGGCGGCTGCCTTCTCCTCATCGGGGGACAGCATATATTTTTCTCTCACCTCACAGATCTTTTGACTGGAGTTCTTTTTTTTGTTTTGTTTTTTTTTTGTTTTGTTTTTTTTTTGTTTTCTGCGATGTCATCATGGAACATATCTTTCTTTTCAGAACCTACCTACCACTGCTCCTAAGCGTATACAGGGGGACCCCTTCGGTGAAGGGAGCTCACCTCTCTCGGCGGAGAGAGGTAATAAATAGAGGCACCAAGTATCCTTGAAATTCCAGAATTCATCAATAAATTTCACCTTACACTACCTACCTACCACTACTCCTAATTGTAGGCAAACGGGGAACCCCGTAGCAGCCAGAACGGTGTTCACGAGAGAACATGGGGGGGCTCCTCCGGACCTGCAGGTGGGCAATACCGGCTAGGAGAAGGGGACAGCCGGTAGCATCAGGGACCAGGCCAACAGGACCAATCCCTGTGCCTTCCCTCAGGTGGTGGTCCCCACCCCTACGAGCATCAGCAGACTCTGCTCAATGCGGATCGGGGGATCCATTGGTCTATATCTCTAGGTGGCAAGCGCCAAGCATACCCAGGGAGGTATGTGAGGAATATGGGGATTGAACTCACGACCTCCTGAATGCCACTTGCGTGCCTTAGACCAAAAAAAACAAAAAAACTAGGGCGCTGTCAGGGTTACAGTTTGAAAATACATTTCAAACTGCTGTTTTGGAGTCCAGTCCACTCTTAAGTTTACACTGCAGACCAAACTCCGCCGTCGCGTGGCTGCGGCAGGACTGAGTTTGTAACTGCAGTCTAGTCATCCACGTAGGAGGGCCAGGCCGTTTTCCAAAAAAGAAAAGAAGAAACAAAAAAAAAGATCGTGGCACTGTATCTTTCCATGCTCTACGGAAAGATTCACGACTGATCTCCAAATGTGCAAAACGAGAGTGAATCTTCCCCCGAACATGGAAAGATACAGCTCCGTGACTTTTGTCTTCTGTGCAATGGGAATACAGGGGCCCAGCCGGATACACAGGCTGACAAAAACGCAGAGGCCCTAGGGGAGACACGTGCTGACAAAAACCCAGTTTCTTTTCTTTTTTTTTGTCTCTTTTTTTTCCTTTCTCAGACCTCGTGGTGGTGCATCTTTCCATGTTGTAGCGGAAGATTCACTCTCGTTTTGTATGGCTCCACTACTCTCGAGATGTGCAAAACGAGAGAGAATCTTCCTGTAGAACATGGAAAGATACAGCGCCCTTAATTTCTGTCCCTTGTGCATGTCAAGGATAATGGAGCAAGGCCCCCTCTGTTTTGTTTTGTTTTTGTTTTTGTTTTTGTTTTTTGTTCCTATAAATCTAGGCTCCGTCGCGTGCCTGGCCACGGCCGCGATGCCTCGGCCACATTCGAGGTTAAAAAGAAAAAAAGAAAAAAAAAAGAGAGCATCTCGTCACGGCCGCGATGCCTCATCAAGGATAGTGGAGCAAGGCCCCCTCTGTTTTTTTTTTTTTTTTTTTTTTTTTTGTTCGTATAAATCTAGGCTCCGTCGCGTGGCTGTATGCAAGTTAAAGAAACATGAGATGACACAGAAGTCACACAGCATGTAGTCTGCGCAAAGTTCGCAAGACAACGTTTGCAACATAATAGTTTCAACCAGGACTCAACAATCTTACCAGCCCATCGGATCTCCCCTCTGATCGACAACAACACCAGACAAGTCCTCGGATCTCCTTTACATGGTTATCAACTTTAGTCCATTGACAACGGTAGCTGGTCAACAAACGTACTAGGCGCCAGATTTCTTCAGTTGCATAATCTCTTCAAGACTCTACGGTATCAACTTCTTCCTCCTCTTCTTCAACTTCGTCATCTTGGATGGTTGTCGATTCCTCTCCGGTCTGATCCAGGACTTTGACCAAGTCAACCGGTTCAACCTCACCAAATGCTTTCCGCGTCCGGTGACTCGCGATGTCAAAGATAGCGTCAATCTTTCCGTTGTACACGATCCCTTCGTTTTTGCAGATAGCTTGTAAGTCTTGAGCATCGAGTCCCCGTAATTCCTCCATTACTTGGTTCCTGAAACGTAGCTTCGCGACTGTTCCTGGTTGTCCAGGACTTTTCAACTTCGCTATAAACGGGGACAACTTCGTCTTGATCTTCGCCTTGGGTCTTGTTAGGCGCGTAGTCCCTCACGTCGCTTTTGCCTTTGGCCCCTTCGGAGTACGCTTAGCTGGCGTCAACATCGAGGGGCTATCCTCGAACTGAGGTTCAGGCCCACGCTTTCGTTTCTCGGTAATGGAGAGCTTCTTCATCTTGCTGCGTATCAACTTCGTCTCACTCCCGCTGCTCTCCGGTCCTGAGCTCGTACCTTGATCTGAAGCATACACAACTTTCTTCTTCCCTTTAAGCTGTTCAGCTAACTTCATCGCCGGGCCGAGGTTTGTTTCGATTCTGTCCAAGAAAGTTCTGGTCCGCAAAGCCAAATGCATTTGCATCTTCTTGTCCATTTCAGCCAACCGTTCCTCCTCCTTACGTGCCTTTTCCATCTTCTTACGCGCCTTCTTTTCACGCGCGGCACGATCTGCAGCTTCCTTCTTACGTGTTTCTTCAGCCTCCAACCTCAGTCGTTCTTCTTCAGCCTTCTTCGCCATCTCGGTTTCAACGAAGGTTGTAATTGTCGCCAAGCTTTTGCTCAACTCTTGGATCTGATTCTGCACCGCTGGATCGATAGATGGTGACGGCCGTTGTTGAGCGTGGTCAGGTACAGGGGACACCGAGCGTCCCCTTCTTGGATCTGGCGACGTGGACGGTCTATAGTCAGCTGCAAGCCAACGTCTCTTGCACTGGTTTGCATAGTGTCCACGCTCATGGCACGCGAAGCACCTAGGTGGAGATCTTCGAAAATGCCGATCCCGCCCTCGGTCATCAGCACCTCCATAGTCATCGCGCCTTGTCTCACTTCGGTCAAAATTACGTCGGTCATTGCTGCGTCTTGGGTAGCCTTGTCTCTCGTAATCCTTCCCGTCGTCATCACGCCGATTGCTCATCGCCTCAGTACGGTAGTATGTAGCACGTGGCTAACCGCTCGTGACAAATAGTACGTAGCCAGCAGCGAGTAACAGGTAACAAATAACAAGTAACAGTTAACCAAGTAACAATTGACAAAACACGCTCACTAGTCTCGGTAATTTCTCTCCAAGATAGTTCACATGCGCTATTAGCAGTATGCAAGTTAAAGAAACATGAGATGACACAGAAGTCACACAGCATGTAGTCTGCGCAAAGTTCGCAAAACAACGTTTGCAAAAGCAAAACAAAGTCTGCGTAAAAAATTCGCACAGCGAGTACACAACGTCAACCACAATACAGGTCAGCGTCCCCGGCGCCGCGTTTCGGCAACCGCCACGTTGCCTTCATCAGGGGGTAACCACTCACTTCTCCCTTACTCGTCGCCTTTCACTCCTTCACTCCCACTTCCGTCGTCATCATCACTCAGTAACCCGGATTACTAGTGACTAGAACGGCGTCAGCCTGAAAAAGATGGACTACTGTGTACAAACTTGTATATATGGAGTTAGTAGCCTCCTCCAATCGCTCCTAAACTATTACGGCCTGGTACCTGAACCATTCTCAAAAACCGGGTACAACCCGGGCCCACACCAGGTGTTCCAGGACCTGGGTACATCTTCCGAAATAAAACTAGAAACAATTCAAATTGACCCGAAAACACAAAATACTGCCTACATTAGAGGAGTACTCCAGGTCACAGGATCGAATCTGACCTCTGTCCAATACCACCAAAAAGAACTTAGATGCGACAACCCTTTACTCACAAAAAGCCATAAGCAACAGGTCACAAGTTCGAGCCGGTACCCTGTCCAATACCCTCGTCGCGTGGTTCACGGCTGCGATGCCTCGGCTGGCCACGACCGCGATGCCTCGGCCACATCCGAGGTTTTAAAAAAAAAAAAAAAAAAAAAAAAAGAGCATCTCATCGCGTGGTTGGACCACGATCGAAATGCCTCGTCCACGCCCGA